TTGGGGTTTTGGGTGGGGGGTGGGGTTGTTTGAGTTTTTTGGTTGGATGGTTTTTTACCTTTGAGATCCCACAGTCTCTCCAGATGCTTCACAGGCAGACAGATCCATTTGGAAGATCTTCTTAATGACATTGCCATTGTCTCTAACAGAGACATTTGTGCAGTGGTCAAGAATCATCTTCACTTTCTAGAGAAAAGCATTATTTAAAACAATTGCATCCAGAGACATGCATACATTTTAATTATACATTTTCTTCCCTTTAGCAGAAGGAGAATAGTAACTAGAAATTATGGTGCAGGAAACTTCATCAAGGTAATAGAACACTTCCACATACTAATCTGAAAGGCTATTGCACATGGTGTGTAACTAAGGAGCCACACAAAAGAAAGATCTGTCTCTACCATGACCATGCCAAATCACTCACACGGCAGAGGCAAGATGGAATTTTCTTGGACTTTTCTGCCAAATCAGAACCCAAAGAGACAATCTAGCAGAGTAGATGGTCTGCCAGGCTCCCCAACATGTCTTATGCGGGAGAGGAAGGGGGAGCCTAGTAGATGCCTTCACCAGTGTTGTATCAGCAAGATGTCCTCCTTACACAAAAGCATATCTATCTCCTTTGTGCTGCATGTCTAAAGTGACTTGGGGGGGCAGGGTTTCCTGCTCAGAGAAATTAAGGATATTTCACCCCATCAATCCAAGAAACATTTAACCCCTGAATTATCACAGCTCTGTAGTGTAAGTGATAGATAGGCTCATTAAACAAAGAGATTAGCAGGGCCAGTTTCAAAATTGGATTGGACTTCTCCAGGCCTTGTTCTGCTTCACTGTTTCAAGACTAAGGGAATGTCTGAGCTGACAAACTTCAATCCTTGCTATTGCAGAGATGGTGAAAGACCAATTGGTAGAAGAGCTCTACAGAAGGGAGAAAGGATTTGAAAGGAATAACTAGGTTTCTGTTTCCAAAGGATTGTCCATATTTACACTTGCCTTTCCATCATTTATAATTTTAATATTGTGCCAGCGGCGATCTGCAACATTAACTTTTGGTGACAGCTGCAGGAAAAGTTCACCAGAGCTATGGCTCACAGTCAGCGACGGGACACCACCAGAAAGCTCTGCAAAGAGAAGACTCTTCTTGGGTATGCACTAACCATGTTCCCACTCAAACTCTGTTGAAATAACTGTTTCAGTTAGATTTTATTTGAAGGAGTTCTTTATGCAGCTTAAAAAGTCTGACTTCCAGCCACAGTGACACAGGATACAAACTGGGTATACTGGCAAGTTGTTCTGCATTCTCCTTATTCTCTCTCCGTAAGTAAATTACTGAACCTTACTTAAAAAAAACCTCTATCAACTGTAAGTAGAATCTCACCTCCACACAAGCACAAAGAACAAATACTCTTTACGGTGCTAACCTAAAGCAAGGAAATCTTCCTGTTCTCCAGGCTGCCCTCGTGCCACAGGTCCATGGTACAACAGAAGGCCATCAGTGGCTTCGGTGATGAACTCTAAGGAGATGCGGCTCTCAAAGCAAGGCTTAAGAGGAGGGAACCAGGCATAACCATGGCCTCTGAAGCTGTGTTTTGTCTGCTGGCAGTCTGGTCCATGGAAATTTGCAGAACATTTGCATCTAGGAAGAAAAATAAAAGCAAAAATCCCCCATCCAAGCAGAAGTCGCAAAAGGCTCTTCCCACAGTAGGAGTCTCCACTTTAAACACAGGAGCCCATGCTGCATAGGCCATAGCACGGGTTAAGCACTAGCAAAACTCCCATCAAAAAACATTCCCTATTGACCTGTTTATACAAACACAATATAGGTTTAGTTCTAGGTGATAATATGTCTGTGCAAGAATATTCTGTGTATGTCAGAGCCATTACAAAACACATGAAAACCTCTAATCTCTTCATAAAAAATAAAAAGAAACCCACTTATCACTAGGCTTAGTTATCAGCTTGCTTAAAGACTTCATAAGGTTTACAGGGAAATCAGAGGAATCACAGAACAGCAGGTTGGAAGGGACCTCAAGGATTATCTCGTCCAACCTCTCTTGGCAAAAGCACAGTCTAGACAAGATGGCCCAGCATTCTGCCGAGCTGAATCTTAAAAGAATCTCATTCTAAGCTAGTATAGTCCTGTAATTCTCTTCATCTTTAGACTATTTTACCTACGAGATGTCATTTTTTGAGAAAAAGTGAAGCAAGAAATGTGAGGAAGAGATTATTTTGACATAAGTAATATGATTAAAACATTTAATGTCATTAAGGTAGGCTGAGCATTTTGCAGGGTGGCGTTAATGGAACTAGTGCAGCTTGCAAACTTCCCAATGTTTTCCCAGACACTGACAAACCTAGGTACCTACCTGAAAATAGAGGTTTGTTTGCAAGACCAACGCATGAAGTCTAACAAAACTCAGATCTGCCACAGTAAGAAGACATGCAATGATGCCTCCACAAGCTTCCAGTCACCCTCCTTACAGGCTGAACTAGAAGCATTTTGTTTGCACACCAGACAGAGCTTTACCAACCTGTAGCCCAAATCAGTATCCACACAAGTGCCACCATTGAGACAAGGGTTTCTCTGGTATGAGGAGCAGGAGAGGTGAGGGCTCTCCCGAGCTGCACAGCCACATAGGGCATGACTCAGGACTGTCACAGACCCCAGTGAAGTGCCTCCAGCTGTGGTTAGTGTTGGCACATGACTCCATTCATGCTTGCTGATGCATCCGCTGCTATGAGTGCAGTTCGCAGTCACACATTCATCAATGCCAATCTGGGTGATATTTATATCCAGGATGTTTTCCAGCTGTGGAGAACAATCGGTTGTGTTCATGTGACTTTTCCACAGAAAGGAAACTCACAGATGACAGCAGTGAAAATACCAAGCCTTATTTATTTTCAAAACTGGTTGCTGTGCTACTTCCTTCAACATCTACCTCACCCTATCCAGACAAAGGCAGTTCAGCCTGGCATCTGTCAGGAACAAAGCCTTGGTACAAGTCGATTATAGCATGACTAAGCACTTAGAGGACAAAAATATATTCATCCAAAGCTGATAGATATTAATCACTGATGGTTCTAATGGATTATTTACATAGCATCTGAGCTGTATTTTTAATTTAGACTTACTGGGAAGGGTGGGCAGGCATTGGCCAGAGAAGAAATACCTTTCTGGCAAGGGTGAATTGGTAACGCAGCCCTGGTTCTAAACATAACTCGTATTTCAGCCTCTGTGTACCAACAGACACATTTCCAACAAAGTGAGTCATTTAACTCTTATCAATACTTTTTTTGCAAGAGGGTCGGGAACTTCACTAAACTGTGCACATTTCCACCCTGGTTTTCCACCGGACAGTGGTTGTTTTACTGCTTTGCTCTCTTCACTCAGAAAGTTGGAACTTTTGACTGGTTTGTGAGTTTCAGATGCAGAACATTCCTGTGTAGAGGACTAAAAATTGAAGCATTAACCATACAGAAAGGCAACAGCCAAATACATACTTCATAGAGAGTTTTACAGTCTTTTCAATAGGAAAAATATGTTCATATTCCTAAAAGCTCATTGTGTTTGCGTGATTTAATTTGTATTTATAGGCTGGCTTTTAAAACATTCACATTTGAAACTTTCAATGTAAGTGCTAAAGGACTGTTCAGCTTTACTGATTAAAACTATCAATTTTTCTCAGACACTACCCCCTCAGTCACTCTAACTATGCACATTCACTAGGCAATGAGTATTATCTGAATAGACACAATGAGAAGGTGCTGTGGTTTCCTATGTAGTATCAATACTTACCCATGCTTTGGAGGCTGCTACATTGCCATTAAGTTTTTCTGCTTTATAATAAGGTGGACCATAAACTGCAAACCAAACATCAACTCCTGGGGTTTGACTTGGGCTATTTAATACACTGAAAACGTGAACGTTTTCCAGTTGGACTGATATAATTTCTGCAAGAAGCTTCTTCATCTGGTAGTATTTACTCTGTTTTTCAGGGGATTGGGATATGAACTCCTCTGGACTGATATCTGTAACAGAAGTAAAAAGCCTGACAAACTTGTATCTTGCAACTGTTGTAGCAGTAAAAGAGAGGAGCACCACAGAATAAAGACTAAGGTTGCAGAAAATGGACTCAGGAGTATTTTCATTTTTAGGCTCTGAAATGTTCCATGCTGGTTTCTGCTCTTGGTTTGTGTTCTGAAGCTTTTTGACTTTTATCTCTTTTCCTGATTATTTCCTTCTTTTTTTTTTTTTAAAAAAAATTTTTCTTTTAAATCAGAAGCCTATTTAAGAAGATTTTACACACTTTTCCACAAAGTTTGAAACAATTTGGTAAATTTCAGGCAGACATTCGTTCAAGTAAAGATTTTTTGCTGATATACAAATTGCTGTTTTGTTAAAAAGTTGATGTAGAAATCTTTCATCTCCACCTTCTGCATCAGACAAGCATTTCTTGCTGGTTTTTTTCTCCATAGATGATTCTTCATGTGCAGTTTCGGAGGACCATGCAAAGAAAGATGCATTTTCAAACCCTTGCTTAGAAAACTCTCATCCCATGTCTAACAATATTAGAATTCTAAGTAACACAGCAGTAACATTAAAGAGGTAGATTTCAGTATTATGATCCTAGCTTATTTCATACTGCTTACCTTTTATTCGTATAGAACCAGCATTATGGAGGGCATCATCCTTGATTTCCTTCACTACAACTTTTACAGTTGAGACAACATCTGGCCAGACTCCGTCAGTGACTCTGACTCTTACGTTATATGTTCCTGGTGGAGTTCCTTCTTTAATAGTCAGCAAACCTGAGTTATCATTAAGGATAAAGTACCTGTAATAAGAGGTAAGCCATGGAACAGCTATGAGAAGTTCAAAAGCCAAGTAGTGATTATCATTACTGATGTTTTTTCTGATCCACTTCATTTTGGGAAAGCTATCAGAGAAAGCAGACGTGTTCCCTCATGAAGGGACAAAGCAGATCAGAACTTTGTTACATTGCCTTCTGTTGGCTCCTAATATATCCTTCACCAGTATATCCAGAAGGTTTCTTCCTGATCCTATACCATATTAACTGTGTGGGAAGACTCAGGCTACTACAGCCATAACTTAGGAAACAGTGCAAACTCCTAGCTTACATATATCCATTAAGAGTGACACCTCTGCAAAACCTCCGAATGGCACATGTGCATCTCAGCCCTGGTCACAGTCCAGACACTTTGGTGTGAATACATCTAATAGGAGTAAGGTCTTAAAACCAACGGTGACATGGAAACACCAGCTCTCCAGGAACTTGGATGAAGGAGGATAGAAGTTAGCAGGTATTTTTCTGTAGTGGCTCTCTGATACTGATGATGGGTGTGACTGTGAACAGGAATTCCCATCAGGCAATGGGAATTGGGTGGGTTTGGTATGCAGCATTATTTGCTGCAGCCTCACACTCAGAAGAACCTTTGGAGAGCGACACACAAGCTTCTAACCAACAAAATGCTTTTGCACCCTTGTTTTCAGAAAAAGGCACTTTAAATACTTTTTATGGGTTTGTGTGTGGACAAGTTTTCCACATATTTCACACAACTCCCATTTTTCTCTCCAAATACCTTGATGTTTTCCCTTCAAATTGGTAGATCTTGCGATCCCAGTCATCTTCGTCAGGGGCACTGACCTGGCCCAGTACAGTTGTGGGAAGGATACCTAAAACAACACAGCATGTAAGTGGTACAGTCAGACCTCTCACGAATGTATGAACAGGTTGGCCATTCAAGTTCTATTGATTTGTCTGAAGTCTAAAACCTCTACAAAACCACTTGTGATAGTTTCCGAGAGAAGGTGTGCATCAGTTTGCAAACGCCATATGGTGTGCCACTTACTGGGTATTTGCAGTATGGCTACATAGATTTAATGCAACAGGTGACTGCAACGAAAAGGAGTGGAAAGGAAAAAGGAAAAGGAGAGATGTAAGAGGTATTCAGAATTACTAATTTTCACTGTTTTGACTGCAGCATCTTACAAAGTGGTTTAGAGAGGGACTGGGGTTTGGCAGGATAAACAACCAAAATACTGACTGGGTTCTAAAGGGCAAAAAACAATAGCAATTTGGAGGGAATTACAGCAAGAGAAGATGTCCAAACTACAGGAACTAGGCTTATTTTTAGTAGATGGTGAGACTTTGGGATGAGATGGAAAGCAGCATGCATTCTGCTGGTTTTGCATTCTCTCAGCAAGGCTCACAAATTAGTATTTTTCTGTTTTATAAAAGCTCTTTCCAAAGGAAAGGCCCACAGGTATCTGAATTCATAGATCTACTGAGTAAAGAATCAAGGATCACAAAGATGAAGAAAAAAAATGTAGGACTTCACCTTGTGAAAAGGAACAGCATAAACCCTGACAACTGAGGGACTTCATGCAAAAAGGAGAGAAACTGTACTTCACTGGCAATTGTGGCAACATTCACTGGATATTTTGCAGGAGGTAGAATACCAGATACCCTTGACTCCCACGTTATATGAACGTAACATACAATATGACTAGTAGCCTTCTGATTCTGCCTCTCCTTAAGATTTTAGATAGCCAAAGATCTTTTTTTTAGTCCCTCCCAGGGTTCTCAGCATACAGACGCATCACTTGTCAGCAACATTACGAATTTTGTTATTTTTTTTCACCCTGAAACATTAATGCATCTGAAACTGCATCTGAAAGAAACATGCAGAGAATATCAGCCAGCTGTGCTCTTCTGTCAAGGCTGACTCAGTTTCTTCCACAAACCAAATGGCCCAGAGTCCGTGCCTCCCTCACCTACTGCTCTCTGGTGAGGCTTAAGGAAACTTCAGTGGCATCTCTAAGATCTTAGCTTATGTGGAACAGGACAGAGTCCTCCTTTGCATCTCATAGCTGCTCCTTTGGCCTTACTGTCACACTTGGAATCAAGCATCAGGGATTGATTTACCGTCATAGCAGTACATGAGACATTCCATGTAGCCAGCAGCGTGTGGGTGGTCATTTTGGTCTCCAATATTCACGGTCAGTGTGTTGGTGGCGCTCATGGGTGGGATTCCACTGTCTGTGATCAGGATGGGCAGGTAGAACACCTTGTGCACTTCCCGGTCAAAGGTATGCAGCGCGGTGAGCAAGGCACTTCCGTTGTGGAAGTCCTGCAAGTTGAAGTTAGTCAGACTGTCGAAATCACTGAGAAGGTGAAAGGAAAAAGGAGCTCCGTTAGCAGCAGTGTCTCGATCTTTAGCATACAGCAGTGTAGAGGTCTCATTCATTTGGACAGCCTGTGGAGCAGGTGTGTTTTCCCAGACCACTGGGTTATAATGAGCCTCAAACTCTGGCCCATTGTCATTTACATCCTGCAGAGTCACTAAAACAGTGGCACTGCCAGTCAGAAGGGGCTGCCCCATATCAGTGGCAGTGACAATGAGTTGGTACTGTGTCACCGTCTCATGATCCAGAGGTCTTGCAACCATCACCCACCCATCACTAGCCACAGAGAATTGGCCACCTGGATCAGACTTGTTTAGTAGGTGAAAAGAAAACCTTCCATTAAGGCCAGAATCCAAGTCAATAGCAGAAACCTGAACAACTTTGGTGCCAACTGCTGCATCTTCCCCTAGTGCAGCCACTTCATAGAACTGGGGGTAGAAGACAGGAGCATGGTCATTGGAGTCCTCCACATAGATCACACAGTGAGCAATGCTGAAGAAATCCATGTCCTCCGCTTTCACAGTCAAATTGAACACCCTCTCATGGGGCTTCTCAAAGTCAATCCGCTTTCGTAGCCTGATAAACCCACAGTTGTTGACTTCATCCGTATCTATGGAGAACTTGCGATCATTGTCCCCATCAAGGATGCTGAATGTCACCATGGCATTTTCTCCCTCATCTCTGTCCACAGCAGACACCACTGCCACCTCAGTGTTAATACTTGCATTCTCAGAGACAAATGCTGTGTAGATTCTTTGCAAGAAGACTGGAGCATGATCGTTTACATCCGTCACGAAAATAGTGGCGGTGCCTGTCCCAGTGAGCCCTCCTCCATCTCTGGCCTCAACCACTAGTAGGTACTTGTCTTCCTTCTCCCGATCTAGGGACCCAAGCACTGTGTAAATGGTGCCACTAACTGAGTCAATTGAGAACAAGTTCAGATTAATTTCATTTTGGACGTTCTGGATGATGCTGTATGTTAGCACAGCATTCATAGCAGCCTTTGGGTCATCAAGGTCCACTGCTGTCATTTCTGTGACAGGAGTGTCTGCCGGAGAATCCTCAGGGACGTGGCCCATGAAACAGCCGTCCACCACACAGAGGAAAAGGGGTGCATTGTCGTTCACATCCCTCACTTCTATGATCACATCTGCGAAGCCAGTCAGTCCCTCTCCGCCCTCATCTGTTGCAAGAACAAGAAAGCGCCACGTTGATCGCTTCTCACGGTCTAACCTTTTATTTGCGCTGATCTCACCTGTGTTCTCATCAATGCTGAATTCGGTGCTGGCTCCCTGTCCATGCAGGGAATAGTTAATGGCTTTTTGATCAGCCACTTGGTCGGGGTCTGTTGCAGAAACCTGGAACAAGTCACAGCAGGTAAGAGTTTATGTAAAAGAAAAGAGGAAATTATTGTTCTTTTATTGATGGCAGTTGGTATTGTGCAGGCTAAATAAATAGCATGTATTTTAACAGTGAACATCTATCGGTTTGAGTCATTCAGGTCAAGTACTCTTTCAATAAACATCATGCATACCCTAGGGAAACAAAAAGAATCACATTTAGACAGACTAATATATTCTACTTCCCAGTATATTTTGGAAAGATGAGATAGCTGCAAGAAGAACCCAGTGGAAGTAATAACAGATCTGCTAAGCAAATGTTTCTTGTGAAACCCTTTGTGTCTGGATACAAAGGCAAACAGGGTCTGTTTGTCTCTGAGTGAACAGAAAGCTGCAAAACCAGGGTGGCCATACAGCCAAGCTGATTATCGGCACAGGCCAGAGAGAGCTCCCAGCTCCTCATTTGCATCCAGGGATTGTTTAGGAGACTGCTCGCTGGGCCAACGAAGCAGTCCTCATGCCAGGGACTGCTCTAACACCAAAACAACAAAGATGATCGAGTTTGAGCCAAAGAACAATCCCTGGTAATGTTTATTTGGTACTATAAACGTAGCCAAAGAGTCTGTGACTTAAATGCATGAGGTACATGTGACAAACACATTATGCTTATACAGTTACTCAAAATATGTTAACTCTGTTTTGCAAAGGAAAGTGATCACATTTTTCAACATTTAGAATCATAGAATCATTTAGGTTGGAAAAGACCGTTAAGACCACCTGCCCAACCATTATTTATGCTGGTCAAGGGAGCAAGTCCACCATGCAAATTCAACCAGGCTTTCCTTATTCTCTTCTTTACAGAAGGTTGCCAGCTAAATCATAATACCAGGGCTCCATGACACTAAAGAAACTCTCTTTTTGGATTTGTGTGAATGGATGGGATTGGGCTGAACAAAAAAGTCAGGTTTTGCCCTGCTTTGTGCAAACTGCTTTACCTTTAGAATAAGTACAGGTAGATCTGTGAGCTCCTCCAAGACACTGCCCTGGTATTCGTTCTGAGTGAAGACTGGTGCTTCGTCATTCTTGTTGACAACATTGATGATGATAAGAGTGTGGTTTTCCCATTTTCCATCAGAAGCTACAAGCCGGAGCTCATAATGTTGTTCTTGTTCATAATCTAGAGGCTGAGCAATGAAGACAGTTCCAACCTCAGGTTCCACATCAAAAATTCCTTTCACATTTCCTGATGTGATCTGATACCTTAGTTTGGCATTTGCACCTACAATAGAAAGCAAATGATCACTGCCTGTTCACTGTCTGAATACTCAGACCAGCTATACACAGTGGACACGTACCCAAGAGAAACTGTATTTGCCCAGACTGTTACAGTGTGGTGTGGGAGATAAAACACAGCCACAGCCACAAACAGAATGGTCCATGTATGCAATTTGAATGGTTTGTGTTTGCTAAATTGGCGGTTAGGTCTGCATTTGTATTTAGAAATATAATTCGCAGTCACAGACAAGCACCTTTTTATTGACAATGAAGGAATCGTGTGTCTCCAATTTAATGTGCATTCATTTGTCAATAGTAAAATAACAGCCTATCAAAATACTAGAAGCTATTTTTGCTCGATGTTTCCTAAGCCTTCCATTTCAAATGCCAATATTCCTTAACTTTTTGGGTTTTAACCACTGGATGGTGCTAAAATATAACAGAAGTCCCATTTTGAGCAAGAATCATCTCGGAAGAACATTCCAGCTGTACAACAGCAGTTGTTTGATTGCTGCAAAATGTTTAGGAACAAAAAAACATGCTTAAATATTTGAAAAGGGAAAAAAAAAAAGATAACCAACCCCATGATGTTGCATTCCAAGATAGAAACTAATTTACCAAATTAAATAGGTGAACTTCTAGGAGTAGAAAGAATGTTCAGCATTTTAAGTTGTGAGTCAACTGTGGATGAGAAGACTAGAGCAACATGGATGGCAACAAAATGAAAAGGCTGTGCCGAATATTAGTGCTTGGAAGAGCATGGCTGCAGCATGAGTTTGACCATCACTTCCTAGTCACTTTTTCCAATTCTCTGAAGTGCAGCAGCCAGTTTTAAATGTCCTCTTTACTTCTCCAACATAGACACCAAGAGGTACAAGCCACTGAAAGGAACGGTCAACTCCTACCTGCTCCCAGTAACATGTTCCTCTGGTGCTCATTTGGGCTCTATCACCAATGCACCAGCTTGCCTTCTTTTTTTCCAACTTGCTTTCCTCCAGCAAGTTGAGCTGGACCAGCTCATGAAAGGAGCAGAAAGCCATAGCAGAAGCAAAGACAGGAACTGACTGGTGGTGCATGCTGTTGGACTGGCTCAGCCCATCTGGTCTCACCACACTGCAGGGGCAGTTTCACGCCATCAGAGCTGATGTAAGTGTGAACCCAAAAAGAAGATCTGGCTTTCTTTTTTTATGTCCCTTCTCCCTGCCTTCATTTCTGGCCATGTGATCCCACATTTTCCACTGTTTGTCAGGTTCTTCCACAAGCATATTCAACCCACTAACTCACCAAAAAGCACACAGGTTTGAGTTTCTTGCAATAGTAATATGTAAAACTGACTCCCAGGGAGATCTGCAAAGCACAGGAGTCAGCACAAAGCAAGCAGTTGCTCAGGAGTCAGTTACAGTAGGGTTGTGGCTCCAGGTGATTCCGTTCTGCCCCAAAGAGATTGTAGGTTAGCTTAACCTTTGCCCTGTGATCCCGAGCTCCTAATAAAAGGATATGCTCCCATATGCCCAGAATGTCTTTCCTCACTTTTACAAATGTTTGAAATACTTAATAATCTCTTGGATGCATAGATTTGTTTGCCCATGAAGGAAGTAGCCCTACATACAACACACAGTAATACTAAGAGGACTTGGAAAGACACGCAGAACCCACTCACCCTCATCTTCATCATCTGCTGTTGCTGTCACCACAGGACTTCCAACATCCCTGTCCTCATCTATGTTGACCTCATACACTGACCGAGGAAATGCTGGAGCATTGTCATTCACGTCACTGACAAAAATCCTTACATAGGCTGTGTCTAAGAAGGAGATGCAAGAGGAACATGCAGACTAGAAATGGTAGAGGTGGAATACCTTGTCGTATTCCAGGCAGCTCACATACCCCCCAAGTCTAGAAAAATTAAGAAACCCAATCTCTGATATATTTTACCCAATATATAATTCCTTATTAGTTTTACCTGTGTTGGGCTGCCCAGGAACACCAGGTCTGGCAGATTCTGAAGAGTCCTGGGACTGAACTTCAATCAAATAAGAGGCTCTTTTCTCTCTGTCAAAAGATACATGGGTGGAAATGATTCCCGTCTCAGGGTCAATGGTGAAGAACTGGTAATCCTCACTAGCATCTTTCAATATTAAGTAGTGAACCTAAAAAGGAAATAGTTAAGAGAGGCTGCATTTTCCACTTTCATTTGTATGTCCAAGTGCTCTGACCTTCCCCAGTAGCCTTCTGGCTCTGTTTGCAAAGTAGCCACACTCTGAGGAAAGACAGTTCATCTGGACATTATTTTTCTAAGTCTTTTGCCCATTTTGATATAAAACCCCCCAGAATTCTCAAGCAGAAGAACATCTATACTAGTGATATCAAAGCCCACCAACCCCAGTATCTACTCTTCAACAGTTAAGCAGTTAAGAAAGATCACAAATAACAGAAGGACAGAGAATGTATGGAATAACATCTTCCCTGGTGTCTCCCCAGCTTCTAGCAACCCACTGTGATTCTGACCTCAAAAATAACCCAGGGCTAACAGAGTTTGGGTCCTGTTCAACAGGACTGAGCAAATGGAAACCTCCACTGATGAAAGTTGTCCACATTCATCCCTTTAACAAACGTCTGGCTTCCTCCTCTGAAAAAAACACATTTCCACTCCTACCCCCAAGTCATGCCCAAAGCACCACCAGGCACTTCTACGACACAGGTTGCTCTTCAGAAGTTGCAAAATAACAGTTACAGAACAGGAGATCTCTACTAGCCACAGCTGCCTCACAAAAAAGTTAGTAGGATTTTTGGAAAAGGCTCAGGAAATGCACAGAAAATGAGCAGTTTCCTTCGTAACACAGCTTTTTCCTAGGGTTGGGTCATTATGACAGTGACGGTAGAATGCTGGTTTTACCAACCATTTGACCAGTGATGGTGAAATGAAATGTTATTTAATTGACCATATTTATGTGGCTGTGTTTAACTGACCATAATCACTGTCAGTTAAATGCTGAAGTGGCACAAATTTGGAAACATGTCCTGCAGCCACCTCCACTTGTCTTGTCATGGCAGCAACCCTGAGAATCACTCAGCAGTGCTTTGTCACAGTTGCTGGATTAAGATAAGATGCTATGATGCAGGATCCCAAGATTGTGAACAGCATCTTCTCTGCCTGCATTCCATATTATGCACATCGGGCATATGCTAGACAACTGCTTGACAAGTGCTGTATGAAGTGTTTGTGGCTCATTACCCTGTCATCTGTCGTCTGCGTGCTCTCACTAATACTAAAACTTCCCTATTGCGAGGAAAAGAATTGGATGTAAGGTCAAACCTCTCCATGTAGGCCAGAATCCAAGTCTGTAGCTAACACCTGAACCACAGATGTGCCAACATCAGCTCCTTCTGGCACAGACACCTCGTAGTTAGAAGACACGAAGAATGGAACATTATCATTGACATCTGCAAAAGGAGGTGACAGGGACCATGGTAAGAAAATGTTTGAGACCTTTTTTCTCCAAGCAAATTTACATCTAGGGGAAAAAATACAGGGGAAAAAACTCATATTGTTCATAGCAAGAGGCAATTCTGCTTTGGATCTTCCCATTTTCATGGCAGCTGTCAGGAGGCATTTTATAGACATTTTTGAAGGGCCAGTTTCTGACACATTTTCTCCCTAAAACTACTGTGTAGGACCAGGTGAGCACAGGGACAGGCAGGAGAACTATGGCAGCACTGACATGGATCCGTTTAAACTGCCCTGGGATCACATCCTCCTGCTCAACCCATGACTATCAGTCCAGGTTCCTCTTTGTCTGTAAGAGGACTAAACTCAGAAATGCTGCAGTCCCCTACATCTTTTTGCACTTTTCACAGTTTAACAGCCACATTTTAAGAAAGTAATTTTCCTGTGTCATGGCACAATGCCAAAACAGAGGAGCTGTGATGACAGTTCCTCAGATCCATCTGTCTCTATGAAGGGCAGACAAAATTCTTAATACCTCATTCTACAGACCCATAAGCACATACTTAGTTTTACTACTGCCACACGACTCCATTGGTTCTGACACACGACCATTTGCATGACCAGTGCCTTAAATATTTTTTTTTTAAGTTGTGGGTGAAGGCTCCTGTAAATCCCAGTTTTCTTTCTCTCATATAAATAATAGTGTGTGAAAAGTTCTTTTTGAACAGGTTTTTTTTTTCTTATTTATAGAAGAGAATATGCCTTGTTAGAGATAAGTTTCAGCAAATTTGCTGAGCAAGGTAAGAAAAACAAGATGCTATAAAAGAGCACCCTTTTCTGGGTGCTTGTGCACAAATAAAGGACAAATCTGTGTATGAAACTTTCTGGTGGTTATTTCTCTCTTAAAGGTGTCTAACTTGCTTTTTTCCCCCCACTAATGCATACACGTGTGTGTAACCTTTTTTTGTATGAAATACTATGCTATTGAAAAAGGATTTTTGCTTGTGAGCAAAATGAGTTTCTGCCAAATTCTGATACTAATAACTGCACCATAGGAAAAATCTTTTGCGGCAGGGTCCATAATCTACAATAAGGCTTGGGGCCTGACTTGAAGCACTCTTGCTCTACAGACCTGTAGGGGTTTTGCATTGGTGGACTGTGGAAGAGAGGACAATTTTGTGATAAAGTGAAGTAGGGAAGTTGGACTCCCATTCAAATTACCACTTAAGTCTCTCATTTCAATCGTGGTGAGTGAGACAAATGTTTTTGCTGGAGACTTCACTTACTCATATTTTCACCTAAATGTCTACATATCAAAAGTAACTCCACTAATGCTTCAAAAAGCAGTGATTAAAATCAAATTTATAGTTTTACTCTGCAGGAGAAGAGCCTTGCAAAAGATCCTGCCATAAGGAGGGTTGGATCAATTTTTTGAAAACTGCACCTATTGTAAAGACATTTCATTTCTAGAGTTTTAATCTCAGTGTTCAATAGAAAATTCTGAATATAACAAACCCCTCTGAAGAGATACCAAACACAAAGCACAGAATAATTCCAGTAATACTAGTCTTCTTTCAATAGCTTGGGGACATTTACTAGATTTCTCCTATCAAAGAAAGCCTTTCCAATTACATTTATAAAAGCAGGCACTAGTGTTGCATAGACATTCAGACAGCCCATATTTGCATTGTCACATTTCCACATTTGATAGTTATACTTAGAAATTATCTCTAATAGGCCTTTTTAATGACTACATGCTTAGGTGGCTTTCATGGATGTTACCTTAATTTGTGGTGTTACACTAAAAAAGCGAGAATATTGTTCTGAATGAGCTGTTCTAGCAGCAGCAAAGCTTACCTGTTATGTTCACACAAACAGTGGTAAAGGAAGCTAAAGGAGTCATTGCTACATTTTGTGCCCGGACTGTCAGGGTGAAAAACTTAGTTGCCTCAAAGTCAAGTGGTTCAGCGACTAGAAGAGAAGCAGATCCATCAGCTCTGTTTGGCTTCAGATAGAAACGAACTGGCATGTTAGTCTCTGGAACTTGACCCTCCTCCAGATTATATGTAACTCTCGGATCACCAAGAGGGGATGTGGCTTTGATGGTCTGAAGAAGAAAAGAGCCACCACATATATTCATGAAGCACAGGGTTGCAAGTGTTAAATGTTCAGTTTGATGGCAAGAACATATATGCATGTGTGTTCCTCAAAAACATACAGGCCTGTATGACTTGGATAACAGAAAAAACAGAAGCAGCTTACAGAACTGAGCTTCATTTTAGAACATTTAAGTTTGATGCAGATCTTTAATCAACAGTAAATTTACCTGCCATTAAATGTGCCAAGCAAGAACTGCATCACTGGCTAAAGGAACTCCCTCCTCTCCCCTTCTTCCAAAACAAAAGCAATCCAAAAGGACACAATTTCTTCACTGAGTTGTAGATTTGATCAGTCAAGTTACAGACAAAACCTAAATTGTTTGCAAGTTATAGAATCATAGAATCATAGAAT